GTTCAGCTGCTCCCCTGGGAATGCTATCAGATTTCCAGTTGGACGCTGCCTGTGAGCACTGATATTCCAGCCACTTGGATCACTCTGCCTGTGGGAACTTGGCAGGTACTGGTGCTTTTGTACCTGTTCATTTTCTCACAATATTCAGATATTTCTTCTCATACTGACTTTTCCCTGAGGTGCACACATACTGGTTTGTTTATTTATTGAGTTTTCTCTGAGCTGGCCTCGTGTGATTTGTTCCTTATAAATCATTGTGCTTTATTGTGATGAGTGCAGTAACTTGCAGCCACAGCAGCTTTTAAAATCCTACTGTCAGATGAAGCAGGTTAATATATTAGTTCATTAATTCAAATCAAAAAGCCCTTTTAGATACACCTTTGCCTATTAGAGTGCTGTTGATTTGGCTGATAAGAGCCTAGCTGTGTTGATAAGGTCCTTTGTCACTTTTAGAATGACAAAGGAAATCATTTGGAACTGAGATATTTCTGAGTTTTCATTGGAAACAAGTGAAGGAGAGTGGAGATTCTGACATCATCTCCTTTCCAGCCGCTGTGCACTGACAGCAAGGCCAGCACCACAGAGCAGAGCTGTAGGAACGCTGCTCCCCACTGAGGTTGGTGTTTGATCATTTAGGAGATGGCACTCAAGGGGCACTGCCACAGCCAGCAGAAATGCAGGCTGTCAAACAGATCTTGCTTTCAGCCTGGCCAAAATTTTTCACTGACTCTGCTTTTCTCATAAACAGAAGCATTATAAGGAAATCAAGTGATTTCATGTTTTATTTCCCTATGTGGTTTGAGTGAACAGATGAGAATTAGTTTTAGTCAAATTAACAAAGATGTAATGCTTCATCCTGCTGTCACTGAAACAAAAATCTAAGTGCTGGTTAATGTCAAAAAAGCGTAAGATGCAGAAATTAAGAGGCAACTGAAGCGTGTGACTCAGTGTGGTCTTTGTGGCATCTCCCATTAAGCTGTTCTGATTTTCAGAGCATTTCTGTGGGAGCATCACAGCTGTGGCTGTGGCGCAGCTGGCCCAGATGTGGGGTACACGAGTACCCAAAGGAAGTCCCTTCCCCCAAAACTCTACATTGCACAAACAGACAACAGACCACAGGTAGATGTGCTGAGGAAACAAGGGATAGAAACATGAAATAGTAATGGAACAACTTGCACTGTGCAGTCACAGTACACCTGCTGCCTCATCGCTGCTCAGTGTTTTGGAGACAACACATGAAATTGTATAAAATTGCTGGGAGGTCAAGCTGATCATGCTGATGCCCTTTCATCTTCTGAATCTCTGACTCTAATTGTTCCTCTCTTTGAGTGTTGTGCAGTTGCAAACCCAGAGAATACATTTCAATGCCCTTTGTGCAATCCCAGGCAAAGGAGAAAAAAATAGGAGTAAAAATCTGTCTCTGTAAAAATCAATGGCAAGGCATGCACTGACTTCAGCAGCACCAGGATTTTTCTCTCAGAGTTTAATTGAAAGTGAAAAATATTTTTGGAGAAAAATGTCTAACTGCTCAGGTTAAAAGACTCAATAACATGCTCAGTTTTTCCAGTCTGTGGGCACTGAGAGACGAGTTTTAAATGCAACTGGCTTTTGGAATGAATTGTTTGCTTTCAGATCACTAGGCATATTCTCTATTTCCATGTCTGTTTATCTATCTCTATGGACTTATTTATTGGGATATCTGTATCTATCTGTCTGTCTCTCTATATGTGAAATACTGGGCAGAGGAACATTTTTGCTCATGTACCTGGCTCCAGTTTTCCCTTGTGCAGCTCTTTGCCATGTCAGTGGGGCTTCCCCCAGCCTTGTGCTTTTAGCCTGTCAAAGAGTGGACTTTGCTGCTTAAAAAAAACCAACCTCAAACAAAAATGGGAATTAATAAACTGATCAGAACAATTAGCAATTTTAATGACATAAAGTTGAGGTAACATACTGCAGATGAACCAAGAAGTCTCAGGGTGAGGATGGATCTTTTCTTTACCTTGTTGGGTGCGGATTAATCAGTTTGCTCCCTTTTCCATTAGGTTTGTTTTTCAGGTCTCCCCACTCTCTCATGTTTTCCTAATGCCAGTTCTTACTTCACAATTAGTTGTGTTAATCACCCAGAAGAGATGAGGCATTCTTGCCAAAATAACATATTGCTAATGAAACAGGAAGATGTTCTCTCATTATGAGTTGTATGAATTGCTGTGATTTCCACGAGCAGAGCACAGGAAAGGTTTTCATCCCAGAAGCGTTGGCCAGGACAGAGTTTGCACAGCTGATGTGCTGCCACCTGCACTCGTGGGCACAAACTGGAACTGGGACACACTCTCTGCAGGGGCAAATTTCAGTGGCCTGACCTTCAGCTGGCACTTCAGTAAAATGCCCACTAAACCAAACGGGAGATTATTTCTGGGCAGGGCAAGAAATGGGCGCACTTGTTCATCTCTGAAGGGACTGAAGACAACAGTTTATTCAAAAGTCACTTGGCTTTGAGAGAGACTCGAGACCCATATCTGTTTTGTGAGGATCACAGGATGGTGGAAGATGAAGAGGAGGCTGTTGATGAAATATTAAGTGTCCATTACTACCTACTAGAAGTATAAGGTCTGTGGAGTGCTCTGGAGGAGAAGAGTATTGATGCATAAAATTTAATAATTAGTTAGTGACCTTTCAGAATTACTTTAAAAAACCTTAAGGAAAAGTAATAACTTAGATTAATTTTTTGCCTCTCACAAGATCAAATTAAAAAATCAGTCTGTTCAGTGAGTAGCAGCATCCTAGGCGAAGGATCGTAGGTTCCATAGTTTCCATATTTGGGCTGAAAAATGAAGTAAGTGCTTCCAAGCCTATTGTTTCAACAACGATGTTGCAAAATATGAAGAGAAGGGAAATAAGCTAATTTTTCAAACATAGTATGTCTGGCATTAAAACTCTCCCTCACTCTGCATTTCTGTAGTGACTTCTGCCCTTCCTTCATTGAATGACTGCAAGGCCTTAAAAAAGCCAATGCACAAAACATCTCCAAATGGTGCACAAATGTAAAGGCATAGGGGCAGAAACTGTAGAAGTAAAAGAAGAGAATCTTGGTTTGGTTTTCTTATTATTCCAGTATCTTTTTTTCTTAAATTACTTTGGTGACTAAACTGCCCACACCTGTATCTGGAGAGAAAGCTCTTCCTTTGCACTTTTCATACTTTGCAAAGACTTCTTTTGAAGCTTCTTCACGAGAACACAGATTAACTGGGTTGTTATTCTGGCACATTCCACCCTGAATGAAGCTGGACGCTGACTTCCTCCTCCAGAGCACGGCTGCTGTATCTGGGATAGAGTATTGTTTAATAATGATTCTCCTATGTTGTACAACACTGCAAGGTTTGGCCACAACATCTGTCAATAACAGTTCTTTATCCTCTGTCAGGTGGGCGATATTCTGAGCTGGTACATTTCAGTGCAATGCCAGTTCTAGAGATGTGCTTCATTTCTGCTCTGGGGAGCCTCTCAGGAGCTGGGAATCCTTCCAAAGCTGACATGAACCTCTAAAATGACTTCACACCACCACACAAAATGCAGCCTTTTCTCACTGCATGGGTAATCGTGTACTTCTCAGTGTTGGCAAACAGAAAGTGTGCAAAGTTTATTTTGATAGACTATTTACAGCTTCAGTGTTGTGGATGTTGATATACAGACAAATGTTTTTATTGCTCCCAGACATGCACTCCACGAAGGAAGAAAATGACTATAAATTCTTGTAGCTACTTCTTGTTTTGTTTTGTTTTGCTCTGTTTTGTTTCGGCTCTGGTAAATTGCATTTTGCTGCAATTCTATCTGCCAAGAGTAATATAGATCTCATTTTTAAGTTTGACCAAATGTTTGGGTTAGTATTGATACCCTCTGTAATGGAAAACCTGCGGTCCGTTATTTTCCCCCAACGCATCTGGAGACTATTTTAGACCAAATGTCGGTATTTTTGCTGCTGTTTTTGCAGCATGTACGAAGTATTCCATTACACGCTCCTCACATTATTTCCCTATTCCGCCTGCACCGCACTTGATTTGGCTCACG